GGGGGGGGGGGGGGGGAAGGGGGATTTTGCAGTATCCTTCCCCTGCTACACCCACCAAGCCACGCCATAGAACCAGTAGTAAAAAAATTTTTTGAATCCCACCACTGGCTTTGTGTACTACATCCTGAGATAGTAAAAAGGAAGATTAATGCTTCTTGGTGTTCTCCGAGTTAAAAGACTTGCACACATATGAACCCTTTATAATTCCTTCGAATTAGACGGTTTAGACTGATTAGACTTTTGACTGTCTTGATCCTTTTTACTGTGGTTATTGTTCTTACTCTTTTAAAATGTTTTTAACCTTTTAAACAGTAACGTATGTGTTGAATTATGAGCTGCCCACAGTTGTTTGCTGTGAGATGGATAGCTTTGGAAATATAAGTAAATAATAAGTAAATAAATAAACACACTTCCTGGAAACATTAAAATGAGAACATCAGGGAGAGAAAGCTTAACTCGGTCTTTGGTCTTACCATGCAAGGAGTTTTTGACATTAAAACATTAAAATTGGGGTCTGCATTGGGATGAAAAGTCAGGAAGTGACCACATATATATAACTTAAAGTTATATTCTGACCCATGTACAAAAAGGGGGCAGAGCTTTGATTCCATCTTGGTGGCCCTCACCTCATTCCTGAGGCCCTCCTGATTTAAATAGTCATCTCCCCCTTCTCAATGAAGAAGCCTATTTTAGTTTTTTGCTCCTTACTTAGAAAGCGGTTGGGAAGATGGTGGCTCTGTGTTGGCTCGGGACAGTTGGTGGCTTGGCCACAGAAGAACTAGGGAGGCAAGTCTTCCTTTGAATGATCTCCTTTCCTTTGTGGCAAAATAGGACAACCCTTGTGGCATTCTGTTTTTGTTTTCCTTTACTTTGCATAATGGCTAAGTAGCCTTTTTTAGGCTTTGTTCCAGCAACACCTTGGCTTCCTATATATAAATAACCGTGATTACCTGAGAGTCTTCCAGCTGTCTTTCTCCATGTGATTTTCTGGACCTTCGCTTTCAAATGAGGCAATAAATAAAGCTGGAGGAGGAAGAGGAGAAAGATAGAACAAGAGACAGGGCTGTTGGTCAGTTTGTGATGACAATGGTGTCAGAAATATGTCATTTGGGGCTGGCTAGATAGATACGTAGGTAGACAGGCAGGGAGAATTGGGGGGATACAGATAGATAGATAGATAGATAGATAGATAGATAGATAGATAGATAAAGATGATATAGATAGATAGAAAGATGAGAGATAGATGAGAAATGAGAGATAGTTGAGAGATACAAAAAGATAGAGATAAGAGGGGGGGAATAAAGATAAGATATAGGTAGGTCAGTAGACAGACAGACAGACAGACAGACAGACAGACAGATGCTGTAGATAGATAGATGAGAGATAGATGAGAGATACAGAAAGATAGAGATAATAGAGGGGAAAATTTAGAGAGAGAGAGAGAGAGAGGGGGGGGGATGTAGATAGACGATGATAGAGAGGTAGGAAGGCAGGCAGGCAGGCAGACAGACAGACAGACAGACAGACAGATGGACAGAAACATACACACACACACACATTCTATCAAATGTGGTTGGTTCTCTTCTCTTCCTCATTGATCCCAATCCTACTTCACTACAATGGCATTATGGCCCACAGACCCATTGCATACATTCTTCCAACTGAAACTCCCAACAGCAGAAAAGGTGATTCAAGAGAAAGAATCCCATGCATTTTTTTGGAATTAGGGCTTCAATTGGTCTGGAAAGGGATTGGCCTTTCCTGCTTAATTCTACAGCTTGTCTGTACTTGCAGAAAATGTAAGCAGGAGGCAGTTGTGGGAAACTGTTTTTTTTTTCTTTTTAAGAATAGCCGTCCCAAAGTCTCACCTTCTTCACTGTAAATAGGTGCGGTGAGCAGGTAACTCTGAATCTTCCTGTCCTTTTCGAAAGGACACTCCACCTGTTTCCATGTGACAAAGTCATGGATTTGCCTTGAAATTTCCCAGAATTTCTGCAGGAGATCCCCATTGACAGAAAAAAGATGGAAACGAGCATTGTTAACATCATGGTACCAAAAGAATCCCTCCCTCCGCATTAAAACATCCCTAAGCGATGGCTGCTTGTTATCCCTGTCAGGAAATTTCTCCTTATTTCTAGGCTGGTTCTCTCCTTGGTTAGTTTGCACCCCTTGCTTCTTGTCTGGCCTTGCTTTGGCCAACGGGGAGGAGGACAAACAGCCCTCAGGGCATCTCTACACCTTCCTTGGTTGTTGGTAAAGAACAGGGGTGGGATTCAATTTTTTTAAGTGGTTCTGTGGGTGTGACTTAGTTGGTAGGCATGGTTTGGTGGTCATGTGACTGGGTGGACATGGCTTAGTGGTCATGTTATTGGCTGGACGTGGCCAACTAAATATCACTCACATCGAGGCACGCATCTCTTCCCCTGGCCTTTTATGACTGTGGGATGCTGCAACAGTCGTAAGTGTGAAAAATGGTCATAAGTCACTTTTTTCAGTGCCATTGTAACTTTGAA